CCAAGAGACAGGGTCTTGCTAAACTGCTAAGTTCCCCAGGCTGGACTCAAACTTCGGATCTTCCTGGTTCAGCTTCCCGAAGTGCTCCTAGGTGAGCATCACCACATTGGGTTTATCTCTACTCTCTTTAAGACTCAGTATAAGATGTAACTCATGGTTTAACTTGAGTCTAAATACAAGAAACCAACCAGACAAACCTAAGTAGAGACATTATACAAAACAATTGCTCTGGACTCATCAACAAAATGCTCATGTTGTTTAGGAAGGGGGACCTGTTAAAAATGGAACAGCAACTCAACATGGCTCATAAACCCTGATTGGAAGGAACCTAAGGACCAGATGTTAGATGATGATTCTGGATTAAGGTCACATTTCCTGAGTTCCAAACCATCATGTGGTTATGCAAAGCATATTTTCTTTCTCAGAAGGTACTTGCTAAAATAGAGATTAAAAAGAAACCATGGGAAATCGTAGATTCTTCTGTGCAGCATTCTTAGTAAGTATGCAATTTTACAATAAAATTAGTGGGGTTAGGAGGGATAAAAGCAATTATTTCTTTCATGCTTGTTACTACAGCAGTATGTTTTATTCCTTAAGTTTGGAAGTTCCCATAAGCCTTAGTATAAAGGGTATAACAAGAGGATGGTATTGTAGATAACTATAAACTCTTATTATTGGCTGGGGATTTAGCACAGCGCCTGCCTGGCAAGCGCAAGGTCGTGAGTTCGATCCCCGATATCGCAAAAACAACAACAACAACAACAACTCTTATTAAACTAATAAAATGAAAAACATCACCTCAAGAAATCAAGAATTTAGCTGGGCATTGTGGCTCATGCCTGTAATCTCAGCACTCTGGGAGGCTGAAGCAGGAAAATTCCATATTCAAGCCTAGCCTGGGCAACTTAGTGAGATCCTACCTCACACTTAAAAAAGAAAAAGGAATATAAGAGCTCAGTGCAAAAGCCCTGAGTTCAATTCCCAAGCAAGCAGCCACCCTCCCCACATCAGGAGCCTCTATGAAACTGTCAAGGATCCAGTACTGGGAGTATTATACATTCAAACACTGTGAGGAGACTTAAAAGACATCTGTGCACCTTAACAGCAACGCTTGCAACTTCAGAGCCAGGCACACTTACTACTGTGTTACCCTATAGCAAAGTCAGTACCTGACTCAGTGACCTCCACAACCTACGACCAGAGTTCCTAAGATGGAAGCTATGAATGTATCCACCACGGAAGTCAAAGCCATCCCATTATATTCTTCGGGCTTTTCCCCATTGCTCCAGGAATGCTACAATTTTGTTGCATTAATTTTATTTGAAAGAGCTCATAACTATTCAATATTAATATTCATCACTTAATTAGTGAGGTCCCTACTACATCTCAGGAATCTCCATTTCACTAACCTGGCCGTGGCCATGTGATGAGGCCTCTAGCATCTCAGGCATCATGTTGACCACATCAGTGCTCAGACAGTTGGGGGCAGAGAGAATTAATGGGAAAAGATGCTTTGAGTACCCCTAAGGTTAAATGCCATGGTAACAAATTCCCCTTCAGGACAGCCTTTTGAGTACTTCTTTCCTAAACAGATTGCCTAACCCATTTAGGTGCAATTCCACAGCTAAAATCAAGCCTTCAGGTCTCCGTAAGGAACTGTTACTTCTTCAAGAAGAATTTAAAATATATCTGAGAACAAAGAGTTCAACTGTGATATTAAAAAAAATATTGAAATGAATTATTCAAGTTTCATGGCTTTTCTTATCGCAGCAATTATGATGCTGAAGGGGAAAATCCTCTCAGTTATATTCCCAGACTACCTACAACAAATACACAGTGTAAATAAAGGAACTCAAAATTCTAACTTAGAAGGGATTATAAACCCGCATTTGTGGAAGTTTAATTTTTCTGCACTTCTCTTTACTTTTTTTTTTTTTTTTTTTTTTGGTACCTAGACTCAAACTCAGGACCTTGCGCTTGTCAGGCAGGTGCTTCTGCCTGCTGGGCTATATCCCCGGCCCTTTACTTTCTAATAGATTTCTGAATGGCTGCCAACCGTTTTATTCCTTTCTTTTTCCAAAGCACCATCACAGCAAACTGGTATGCATAGTCAGTGGAGTTCTAAGGAACTTAGAAAGATAACAAAATACCAAAGGTATTCAAAGAGCCTGAAAACCCGACAAAGATTACAAACCTAAAAGGATTAGAAACTACAAAGATAAACTGTGGTTATAGTTTTAGTTTTCCCCCACTTTTGTCCCTCCTGAATAGGCCCTCACACATGCTAGACAAGTGCTCTACCACTGAGCCATGCCCCCAGCACCATTATTTTTATTTTTTGAGACAGGGTCTCACTGTGTAGCCCAGGCTGGCCTTGAGTCCACTATGTAGCCCAGGCTGGCCTCGACTCGCAGCAATTCTCGTCTCTGCCTTCCGAGTGCTGGGATTACAGGCATGTGCTACAATGCCCAGCTCATTTTTTTGAGTGAAGAACTCGCTGATGACCAGGCTGGCCTTGAGCTTTCCATCTTGTTGTCTCAGCCTCCTATGTAGTTGGGATTACAGACATATGTCACTACACCCAGCTCATCTGGGATCTCCCACTTGTCACTTTCTACTGGTTCATTCCTAAAAGTACAAATGTAGGACCGTGCATCAATACTACACAAATAAACCCCTCCACTCGCTCCTCTTAACCCCTGGCCCCTGTGCCGTTTCATCACCTCCCAGCCTCTGGGAAGACTTGTCTGCATGTACTTTCTCCACGACAGCTTCTCCATCTGTCTCACCCCGCTGACACTCCTGTGCAAAGCTCATATACAATTTCTCCAATGGAGTTGTGTGTATAGCCTTCTTTCAGGTAATTCTGGCGTAACTGACAGCTTGAAACCATGTCCTTTCTTAGGTCTCTCTTGGTTTCCTCCTACCTCTCGGGCCAATCGTACCTCCTTGGCAATACCTCCGCGTCGGTGTTTCCAGCCCCCTAACACATCCTCCCAGTCCTCTTCTCTTTGACCTTAACTGATGGAACTGAACCCAGAGCCTCCTGCACGAACTATATACCCTCAGCCCTTGCCTTTCATTCTTAGTGCTATGAATATCATCTCTGGGCTTCAAATTGTCTTCCAGCCCAGGTTCATCATCTGAGCTCCAGTCTCGAGTATCCTGTGTCTGGATGACAACCTCACACTGCACCCTAAACCCCCAAACGAACACTACATTCCCTTCCCCAAATCTATTTTCCAACTAGTTTCCTCATTTGAGTGCACGGCTCTACTAACCACTCAGGAACTCCCTGTTGATTTCTCTCTTATCCCTCACTGTTCAGTCCATTACGGAATCCCTTTACCTCTCCAAACTCCATTTCAGGTATTTCCACTTCTTTCTGTCCCTACTGTCACCCGTGAAATCCAGGCCATCGGCTCCCCAACTCTGGATCGCCCATAGCCTCTAGCTGCTGGAGTCTCCTCTTACCTATCCTGCTCATTCTCTACCTGCTGGTCTTTTAAAGAACATAAATTGAGTCTGCTACTGTGTCAGGGGTCTGCAACCCAGCACCCAGGCTGGGGGAGGCAGGAGGGCTGCAAACTCCAGCCTGTCTGGGCAAAGGAGCCAGGAGGATGGGTCGGGGATGGAGCTCAAGGCGAAGTCCTGAGTTCAATCCTCAGGAAGGAAAAACCAAAACAACACCACCACTCGATACTCCTGGGTCCAAACACACAGAATCAATCTGAAAAAGTAAACAGAACGGCCCGGGGGTAGCTCGGCGGGGCCTCGCTTGCCTCTCCCCCGCCTTCGGGGCGCCTTCCCTCGATTATCTCCCAGGCCCCGGGGGAGCGGGCGGGTGCCGCCGCCGAGGCTGGAATCGGCCGGGCCGGGCGCGCGTTATCTTCCGAAGAATTCACGCGGCGCGCACGGGCTCGCGGCTCCGGGCCCCGGGACCTCGAGGA